CCAGCAATGCATTATAGTGGGGGAGGGGGGGTGTTGGGGGTATTCTGCATAGCCGACTTTTATTATAATGCATTGCTGGGACTTGTAGTCCGGCATAGCTGGTGATATTCTGCATTGCTGTATGATGACTATACAGCAATGCAGAATAGCTCCAACGGTGTAGGACTACAAGTCATTTTAGGTATCTAATTTGTACTGAGATAGTAGTCCATCCCAGGAGTGAGCTTGGATCGGTGACTACTTTACAACACACACAGTGACCATGAGGAACAAAAGTAGCCACCCTCCAGAAGGAAGGACAGTGTCAACACCAACTGAGAGATGATTTGAGGATCTACAGCCGAGTGATACACAAATAAGAGACATTTTTGTTAATAGGTAAGGCACTTGAATGTATTTATAAGATTTAAAGTGACATTAAAGTAATTTTTTTTCATCCCCCTCCCCCACTCCCCATGCTGGTGTAAGGAGTTACCTTAAATAATGCCTCTTGATCCGATCATTTTCTTCGTTCCAGTTGTTTTCAGGAGTCCCTCCAGCGCTGGTGCCGGTCTCTGACCTAGCGCTGATCTGTGTCCCACTGTGTCCGTGCAGGTGCATGCTCCCGGACTGTGTGCATTGACTTACACTGTGTCTCTCCGCTTCTCCTGGCCGAAGATCTCTACTGCGCATGCACCCACCCTTCATCCTTTTGCGGCCGCCCGAGAATTTTCAAAACTTCGGACCGGAGCGCACAATGGAGACACAGGTAAGTTTTAACCTTTTTGGTAACTTTTTTTTTTTTTATGTTATTGCATATGTCTACTGCTTGCTAGCAGACCCTAAAGAAAACTATGGCAGAAAATGGTTGGGCCATAGTTCTCTTTTAATGTCACTTTAGCCTTTAGTCACAATCTGTATTGTGACAACCATAAAAGTTACCTCTCTGGAACTGCACATTTAAAAACAATTGATAAATGTCAGCTCCAATGTTCTACTCTATAGGTTCCTTCAAATCCAAACTTTTTTCTGTTTGGATTGGATTGCACGGAATGCTAAAACTACATCTCTAATGCTGGCCATACACCTTACAATTATCTGCAGATTTTCTATGGTCAGATGGAAAAAGGTGCAACAGATTCCTCCATCTATACTTAACTGTGTGGATGGAGTAATCTCCCACTGGGTCAACCTGTTGCACTTTTTCCATCTGACCACAGAAAATCTGCAGATAATTGTAAGGTGTATGGGCACCTTAAGTGAAGAATTTCATATGCCAGGTTTGTTGTTGCAGTTGATAAGATATGCCTGAGTTCTACAAGTGAATGTCCTATTATGCAATTTGTTCTATAAAGTGATTTCTCCAAGAAAAACATTTTCGTCTTTAGAAAGGTTGGGGTTTTCCCGAAATAATCATCCTGGAACCTAAGGCAGGACAGGGAGGGGTTTAGGAGCTGGCAGACTGTACTTAATAGACGCAGCACTCCACAACCTTGGCTGATGGTGCAGAAAATATTTTGGACAGAACTGGACGGCTTCAGGAAAGCTTCAGATTAAGTGACCGCTCCTTGTTCCTTGGATTGAGAAAAACAGACAGAAGTAAGTGCTTACATACCGTACAAGGAATCAGCAGAAATAAATATTATACAATGTACTGTATACTAGCAAGAAATAATTCTTATACAATGTATATTAGAAATAAATCAATCATATACAATTGGGGGGAATGTATAAAAACTGAAGCAGACCAAATCTGGAGCAGATTTGCATTGCAACCAATTAGCTTCTATCTCTCATTTTCAAATCTCAACTGAGCAAACTAAAGATAGATGCCGATTGGTTGCCGTGGGCAATTGCTCCAGATTCTGGCTGCTCCAGTTCTGATAATTTCCCCGCAATGTATATGAGCAATAGTGTCATGTACCTGGGTGGAGACTGAATGTAGGGAGGAGGCTTCCCTTGCACCTCGTGCCCCAAAGACTCTGGAGTTGGGAACAGAGTCAGAGTGGATAGCAAGTGGCACAGGTGCCAGTGGTGATCACACCATGCAAGCTGGAGTTCCGGCCATGGATTCGGGTCAGGCTGAGCTGTAGTCAAAACCAGGCAGGCAGCGGAGTGCAGAGCACAATCCCAGATCGAGGTCAAACAAGCCAGGGGTTAATCAAGCCGGGCAGCGAGGTACAGACAGGAGACAGTGGCAGGCAGCAATCAACAAGGTCAAGGATAATCTGGGTCAAAGTCAGCAAGGCAATCAGAAGCACAAGGAACACAGGGGAAGCTGAAGACAATCCAGCATCTTGGAGTCAGGCAGGTTAGCTTTAAATAGGCAGATCCATCAGGAAGCAGCATCACTTCCTGTGCACCATTTGGCGCGCTTTTGCGCGGCTGTTCCGTGGCGCACACATGCGCGCAAGTGCCCATTTACCCGCAGTAGGACACATGGTTTCTGACAAATAGTATAGGAAAGTGGAACTGCTACCTGCAGCTAGCTAGATTCCATGTCTTATTTTCCCAGTTATATTCTGATTGGTTTATTCTGGAGACAATCCCTGTGGTCTTAAAAAAAGTGCTCAGTTCAATAGCCAATCAAAATTCATCTTCTACCCGAAAAACTAAATCTGATTGGCGGATAGAGTACTGCCCTCTGCACACCATATCTGCCCTTTTCACTGGCCCATGTGTAAATACAAAAGAGCATATTTGAAGCAGTGTTGGCAATTCTGTTTCCGCTGCTTGTTGGTAAATACATTTAACGTGTTGCTCCGCTATTATAGAACAAATTGTATCGATAGAACACAGTGGTGGCTTATTTTGCAATGATAAAGCTTTTTTTTTTTTTTTTCCTAGCATTTCGTTTCCAGCTTGCTTGCTGTACTTAGCTCTGTATCCCCTGCTGTGTCCAGTCCTTGGCCTCTCTCTGCTTGTAATTCAAACTGAACGGCACACATAAGATTTTATGCTGCTCAGTTTGAGTCCACTGAAGTGGGTTGGTGAGAGGCGGAGTTTCCGAAGAGAGCGTTACGCTTCCCGGCTACTCTTTGGGGAACAAAGACGTTGTTTGGCTTTATAGATAACTTCCTTTTAGAAAGGATTATGTCTAAAATATATAAAACATACACTTAAGGTAAACACAAACTTTCTTATTTAGAAAACAGCCGACCCAGCAATTTTAAACCTTGGGGGTTCATTTATAAACATTAGCACGGCACTAATGCCCCTGGATGGTATAGGAACTTTTTTAAATGAAGAGAGAGAGAGAAGAGACAGCAGAGAAAGAAGAGAGAGAGCGAGAGGGGGAGAGCGAAGAGACAGCAGAGAGAGAGAGAGATAGAGAGGCAGTAGTCCCAGTAATGATTTTTATGTGCTTATTTTTTTCGTTGGTAGATCTCATTGAGCTCGTCCTTTAAAAAATAGATCTCAAGACAAAAAAATTGTGGGCACCCTGGTCCATAGGATACAATACCATACCTCCCAACTGTCTGAGATGGGAAAGAGGGAGACCTTCCAGCAAAATCTATATAGGCAATGGACAAACCCCTGCCACTCCCCCAATGATGCAAATCATTAAAAATTTATATGCCAAAATGGCCTTTCCTTGATACTGGCATGTGCCCTTACATAGAATCAATGAAGCAGGGAGATCCTTGCACTGCCGCTGCAGCTTCCTTTCCACCATACAGCTCAGTAGTGATGTAGGGAATCGGCTGGAGTAGACATTGAGTGCAGCAGGAGACACCTGATCGACATTCCTAGAAGTGTCAAATTCTGTACAGACTGTGAGAGATGATTTCTCTTCACTGGAGCGCCATTTGGCAGTGTAGGCAGAAGTATAAAGAAAAAAAAAAGAAGTTCTGTCTTTGCAGGTAAACCTTTTATTCTGGCATTTATTTTTGTGATGGAGTTTCCTACAAGATCTCAACTCTTGAACAGAGAAACGAGGACAGCTGTATAACCTGACCTGTATATAAATTGTCAGTTTGCTGTCAGACTGTTCCGTTATGGTATGTGAATAGCGAGGTCAGAGTAACCAGCAACAAACCAGCACAATGAGAATCGTGCAGCTCCTGGTTCAAGAATCATTTCTGCTATTCATCATGAGGCGTACAGGTGGAAGCTCGGCATAAGGAGGAGGAAACATGCTAAAGTAACAATTGCTACCTAGTGCTAGGTACATACAGGCAATGCAGTAATTGTAAACTTAGAATATATA